AAAATACACTACATATAAACAAATTAATAACAAATCAGTCAAAGTAGTAAAACAATTTATTAAATATCATAGCCTTTTCTGCAAAGAATTTTTTGTATACAACAAATTCTGGAGTAATTTATACATGATATACATTGTAATAATGATTCCCTTGAACCTATTAACTTTACATCAATTTATGTTTGAAAACATGTCACGTGAAGTCAAGATATTTTATGCAATTATTTTAGTGTTAATGTCAATAATGGTATTTATATTTCAATTTTGTTTTGCATACTTATCATTGCAAGTACATAAGCCATGCGTTCAGTTATCGCGACTTCAGTGGTGTATCAGTTCCTACCCTTTAGGACTGAAATTCAAACTCAAACTTTTGACTTATTTTGAACGATTAAGTAGTAAAAGGAAAATTGGCGTAACTATCGGACCCACTATTACACTCACATTTCCCGTCTATTTTCAGGTAATTATTTTTAAATAATATTAACTACTGTATGTCTAATAAAATGTTGATTTATGTTTAGATTATTGTCAAATATTTTCGTTGTCTGATACTAGTCTACAAATTGGCTAAAATGTCAAAAAGCTAAATATATTTCGAGAAAACATTTTCAAGTACTTTTGATATTTTAATTAATTTTTAAAACACAAAAAAATTTTTTTAAATATCATTTTATTATTCACTTACAAAACAAATATATACATTATAATAATATTAAATATTTACAAAACTTGAGTTTCACTTAAATTATTGTTGACTATCGACTCATTTAACGGCAAATCGTATAAACTGTTTGAGAAATTAAATCCATTGCTGTTCACATGACTGACATTATTATTGAAGATAATATGATAGTTATATGAGTTTCACTTAAATTATTGTTGACTATCGACTCATTTAACGGCAAATCGTATAAACTGTTTGAGAAATTAAATCCATTGCTGTTCACATGACTGACATTATTATTGAAGATAATATGATAGTTATGATTACAATTATTAGCACCGGTAGTATTACTAGTATTGAGATGATTATTATTTAACTCAAAACTTCTATTACTGTAATGATTGCTATTATCGGTAAAAACATTATTACTGCTAATGAAGGAGCGATTCTTATAGGGATTGTGGTGTCGCTTAAGAATCGGCAAACACTTGAACAACAGCTTAATCTCACGCCTGAAGTGTTTGTTGAGTCCGAAATAGATGAACGGGTTATAGCATACTGAGGACATGGCCAGCATATGGCACGAGTAAAACAGTATGGAGTCGTACTGCACGATGTCGGCCGAGAAGTCGCTATAGATATGAAACAAATTCAATGGCAGCCAACATATGGCGAACACAATCACCACAAACGCCAACATTTTGATGATTTTTTGGTCCGTTTTCTTGATGCGCTTCTGGATGTCGTTATCGCGGTGCCGATACTTACGACAGATTTTGTTTATGATCTTCACGTAGGCCACAGTCGTGATCATCAGTGGTATCACGTATTGGGTGCTGAATGTGATTAATGTAATCAATTGCTTGATCAGCGCCGACGGGTGAGGGTAGACCGTGTTGCACCGGGTCTGGTGAGTCACTTTGAACTCAACCAGCTTGTTGAATATCATTTCGGGTGTGGCGAATATGGCGGCGAATATCCAGATCACTTTTATCGTGATACTAATGGGCAGGACGTTGGATATGCGCCGATAAAAGCGTGAGTTTATGGCCTGATATCTGTCTATAGCTATGATAGTCATCGTCAGTGTCGACACATATCTATTCAATTGAAATGAAAATATATTTTAATTCGTCCTATTCTTGATGTCTTTGATTGTATTTGTCTTTCAGTTTATGTTTGCTTACATTTCACTCCAATTACATAAGACTTGTCTTAAACTATCGCTAATTCAATGGCAAGTCAATGGATACCCATAAAAATGTAAATAAAATTTTTATTATTAACTAGTTTTGCATTGGATTTGATTGCAGCCATTTAACAAATTTTGTTTTGATTGACTAATTTGTAAATTAATACTTTATTTGCATTTTAAATCAATTTGAATGTTGTTTAAATAAAAACTTTATTACATTTATAATTAGATTAACGAATGAAATGTTTTTATTTTTGAATTAACACTTACTTAGATTACTCGTATAAAATGTCAATCTTTTCACAATTAGCTTTAACTCAGCTTTAACTCTTTAATATAAACTAATTGAATGTTTTTATGAAATTATAAACATTTTGTATAAGTAGTCATAAAATGTGGGCTCAGTCACGATGTTTAAGAAATACACTTTTGCTTTATTACCTTGTTTGTATTACCTCTCATTTATTATTTAAGAAAATTGTTAGTGTGTTCACAATGAATGGAAATTTTTAGAAACTTAATTTTGTAATATCTTGAAATATATTTAATTAAGCATTTTCATTTCAAAGTAAATATGTAACTTAAATGTTCTCATATTGATTTGTTATAAATGAAAAATTATATTCAAAATATTATACATAAAAAGATATCGGAATATTTTTAACATTTAAAACTATAAATTTATCAAAATGACTAAAATTGTTCCTGATATAAATTATCTAAAAATCAATAACTTTCTAATTGATAGCTATATAAATACTATCAATAAAAGAGTTAATGGGCATCATGATAATTCAATCAAGGAATATTTCATACTAATATGTTATGCAATAAATTTTGTCAAAATAGTATATTGTATAAATGCTGATTATAAGACCAGGATTATGTTATTTGACTTACCTCTATTTATGGGTGGTGTTTCCAATTATAATAGTTTTATTTTAATGTTAGGTTGCATTTTTGGTGCTACCATGTTTATTAATTTACATTTACTTAGCTCCAAACAATTAATGCATTGGCGGNTTAATTTACATTTACTTAGCTCCAAACAATTAATGCATTGGCGGACATTATTTAATTCAATAAATGGACATGAAGCTTATAAAACTATTGATAATATAGTGATTAATGCTAAGCACATTTATCTTGGGCAAAGATTTGCAAAATATATTTATCTTGTAATTAATATTTGTGGTATATTATTAGGTATGTATAATATTTATAAAATTATTTTATCATAATAATTATACAATATATTATATTAATTTATTTAAAAAACTATTTTTTACAGAAATCTCTGCCACTGCATTTTGGTTAATACTTACTTTCAAATATTATACATTTTTCAAGTTTTTGGTGGCATTTTGGTGTCAAATTATATTTTGTGTCTCATTATACACAATATTAAAGGATTGTCTCATTTGTCTGGATGTGATAACAGTACTAATTTTTGTCAGTATTAAAACCACAATATTAATTAACATGAAGTTATTATCCCTAAAATACACTACATATAAACAAATAAATAACAAATCAGTCAAAGTAGTAAAACAATTTATTAAATATCATAGCCTTTTCTGCAAAGAATTTTTTGTATACAACAAATTCTGGAGTAATTTATACATGATATACATTGTAATAATGATTCCCTTGAACCTATTAACTTTACATCAATTTATGTTTGAAAACATGTCATGTGAAGTCAAGATATTTTATGCAATTATTTTAGTGTTAATGACAATAATGGTATTTATATTTCAATTTTGTTTTGCATACTTTTCATTGCAAGTACATAAGCCATGCGTTAAATTATCGCGACTTCAGTGGTGTATCAGTTCCTACCCTTTAGGACTGAAATTCAAACTCAAACTTTTGGCATATTTTGAACGATTAAGTAGTAAAAGGAAAATTGGCGTAACTATCGGACCCACTATTACACTCACATTTCCCGTCTATTTTCAGGTAATTATTTTTAAATCATATTAACTACTGTATGTCTAATAAAATGTTGATTTATGTTTAGATTATTGTCAAATATTTTCGTTATCTTATACTAGTCTACAAATTGGCTAAAATGTCAAAAAGCTAAATATATTTCGAGAAAACATTTTCAAGTACTTTTGATATTTTAATTAATTTTTAAAACACAAAAAACTTTTCAAATATCATTTTATTATTCACTTACAAAACAAATATATACATTATAATAATATTAAATATTTACAAAACTTGAGTTTCACTTAAATTATTGTTGACTATCGACTCATTTAACGGCAAATCGTATAAACTGTTTGAGAAATTAAATCCATTGCTGTTCACATGACTGACATTATTATTGAAGATAATATGATAGTTATTACAATTATTAGCACCGGTAGTATTACTAGTATTGAGATGATTATTATTTAACTCAAAACTTCTATTACTGTAATGATTGCTATTATCGGTAAAAACATTATTACTGCTAATGAACGGGCTGCTTATGTGTCATTAAATTTTGTAAGGTTAATTGGTAATAACGCACAATATATTAATATACCGTCTATTTGTTTTGATTAAACTTAACCAATATTGTGCCAGTGCCATTGTGCAATATTAATTAGTCCCGTAATTTGAAACGTAAATAACTTTGTTCCCGTGGCCGGAAAAATTTTAGTAATCAAATTTCATACAGTACCTCCAACTTAAATAAATCCTTTTAAAAAAAGATGGCTTTCCAACTTGAGGCAATTCATCCATAACGTATATATTTTTAGCTATTTTACTAGAGTATAAGTTTTTTAATGGGTGATCTTTCAAATTAAGTCTTTCCAAAGTTAATCTAAATGTTGGATCACTAAACTTTATTTTTTTATCGATATACCAATCTAAAGATTTAGCCAACACGTTGCTGCATTCCGGTCTACATTGCCATACGGGCGATGTTAACATTGATATCAGTATACGTTGCAAACAATATATCGGGCCACGTAAACTAGGGTTTGATCTGGAACTATGCTGAGTGCTAAGTTAACAATGGAAGAAAGTTAAAAATTAACCATGCTATTTTAAAAATTTATAGAAGTTCGAAAGTAAATTCATACATGTTCGTTTCAAAACTTGAAAAATCAAACTCAAACTCAAATATTTTTGTTCCAATTATTGCCAAACTATAGACATCGCATTTATAATTATAAATTAATCCCTGCTCTACCTCTGGAGCGACATATGGTATTGTCCCTCGATCTGCCGTATGTTTATTTTTAAGTATCATGTGAATGTTTTTATCATGAAATTTAGCAAGACCAAAATCGCATAACTTAACAAATCTTCCGTTCTGTCCGATCCTGTCAATCAATATGTTTTCGGGTTTGAGGTCTCTGTGAATGATCTGTGGATTCAATTCATTTCAATTATACCATTAGGACTTCCGGTGCTATATATCCCAGGGTTCCCACACCTGATGTATGTCTTTTAGATGTTAACAAATGAATACTTTTTTGGTGAACTACAGCCAAACCAAAGTCACATAACTTAACAAATCTTCCGTTCCGTCCGTTCCTATCAATCAATATATTGTGGGGTTTGAGGTCTCTGTGAATGATCTGTGGATTCAATTCATGCAAATACTGAACACTTTCTAAGATCTCTCGGAATATTTCACACGAAATGAAATACTCAACACAATCCATAGGTTCTCTGGATTGTCGATCAAATATTTGTGGTTTGGTATCAATAAAATATTGAAGATTCTCAGACAAGCACTCCATCTGAATGTAGAAATAATTTTCATCCAGCCAAAAATCGTAATACTTGACAACATATGGTGAGCTTACTCTTGATAAACTTTTGATTTCGTTGAAAATTTGCTTATTTTCTTCAATACCTTTATCTAATTAACAAAACAGTTATATTATATATTATATTATTAGTATTTCTTTAAACTACAATCACGTATAAACAATTTATTTTATATATCTATTTAAAATATTAAATGTGTAATGCTAATTAATTTTTCAAAGTTTTGAGATAATATCCATAAGTTAATTACTGTTTATAAACAAAAAGTGGTGAAAGTTTACAATAATTGAAATGAATTGAATTTATTAATATTTACAGACCCTGTTCACTCTACCGCAGCTTATTTTCAAATATTAACTTAGATTAAGGCACTGTAAATTATAAATGGGGTCTATATGTTCTTGAAACGAGAGAGAGTGAGTGAGGGAGAGAGAGAAGGGTAGAGACAGAAAGATAGAAGTAGTGACGCCTGGTGTCCGTCAATATAAATCAATTTCATTATCCATGAACCCTTTGGTATATATTTTTAAAAATTGAATATCATTTGATCCATAAAATAGCATAAAAATTGTTAGTTTTTAAAAGGTTGAAGGTTATATATAATTATTAAAATCTAATTTGATATTATGTTTTTAATTTTGATTTAATTTAAAGTCTACATTATTGTCATAAATATAAAAACTCATATGTTGTTATCATTTATAGTAATAAAGAATAAAAACTATAAACAAACCTTTGTCCAAATCTATTTGCTTAATAGCGTATATTTCATCCGTGTATTTATGTTTTGCCTTAAATACGTTCCCATAACTACCTTCACCAATCATCAATTTCTCAATAAACATGGTTTCGTATTTGTTACACATTATAGATTTTATTAAAATAGAGGGTTATTAAAATAATTTATTACGTTATATCATATGACGTTAATCAACAATATCGTTATTAATAAATATAATACATAAATAAATCAAAATTACAACAAATTTAATAAGTCCAAACAATTAAATTAACAAATATAATAGTAATAATAAAAATGTGCGCTTTTGTTATAAATATAGAATGGAAAGCATTTTACGATTTTATTATGATTATTGTCATACTTATTATCTGTGAAATGAGGTGCTTAGCTATGGTTAACCAATAAACAATGCACCCTTATCTTTTAGGTATATAAAAATTAATTATTTTATCTGAGACGTAGATGTTCTAATAACAAATATTTATATTAACGTTTATATTGCTATTTTCTATTGCATAAAAATAAATATTTTTATTATCATAAAATCAATATTTAAATTAATCTATATAGACAGCTTATTAAATACATTAAATGAAATGCTCATATTATGAGTTATTATGATTATAGTGGAATATTTTTTAAAACTATTAAAAACTAGATCATTTAAATTTTAATGATTTTAATGGAAGATAATCAATAATAGATGATAATAATTGTATTATATATTAGATTTTTATTTAAAAATATAAAATACACATAACAGATCTAATGTTTATAAAACTACTATCTGAATAAAAAAGATCTTGACTTTCCTTGGTTATTTAATCTTAACCATGTTGAAAGATACAGGGGTTTTAACAAATAGAAATGCTAATAACTTTTTAATTGATTACTACTTAGATAGGATCAACAATAAAGTAAATGGTAAAATAGGCAATTCATTAATGGAGTACATATTAATTAGTTGTCACGTATTGAATATTATTAAAATCATATATTGTTTGAATGCCGACTATGATACCCGTATATTATTATATGACCTATCACAATTTATAGGTGTTGTCTATCATTTCAATTCAATTACACTAATCATCGCATCATGTTTTTCGGTATTTTTAATTAAAATGTTTTATTTAAATAAATCCAAACAAATGTATGAATGGCGATTATCATTCGAGGTAATCCGTGGCAAAATAAAAAACGCAAAACAAATCACCAAGGTGACAGTTGAAATTCGGTATTTTTAATTAAAATGTTTTATTTAAATAAATCCAAACAAATGTATGAATGGCGATATAGTAAGCTCCATTAGGCACCGTTTTATTTTTTGCGTTTTGTTTAGTGGTTCCACTGTCAACTTCTAAGTCTAGTTTATTTCTAATTTAATGATCGAAGTGTATAGATGTGACCTGAATGCAAATAATTCATATCAAGTGGTTAGTAACAACTTTTATTATTTAATAATTATATGGAGTAATGCATGAATTATATTTTATAATTATAAATCAATTAACTTATTTTTTATTTTAAGCCACAATGGCATCAATGGCATTTCTAGCCGTTATTATAAAATATTACACATTTGACAAGTTATTGGTTTCAATGATACCACAAATATCTCATATTATTGGCGTGTATTTAGGCACTATCAATGGCTTAGTTACGGCTACCTTTATTTGTATTATAAGTATTATTGCATTTCAACTGATCAAGCAAATTAATGATAAATACTTATACAAATCAGCAAATGATACATTTAATACATATAAGGCATATAAAATGACTGAAACTTTCATTGAAGAGCACAACCATTACTGCGAGGAAG